GATGAAGAAGCCCAGGACAAGGTAATGTGTCCGCAGGCACAAAGCAAGGTACCAGCAGCAAAGAGAACACTCGGGTTTGCTAACTCGCAGTTCAATGTGCTTTCCAACAAACCATGCTGCCTAAGCACATGAAAGAAATCGTGTCACTGTGAGCCGCTGCAAGCCGCAGATGAAAGGTGGGTGGTCACAACTTGGAAACAAATTAGATCGGTTAGAACAGTATCTTCCTATCTGGGAAAATCAACCTAGTGTAATTATAATTACAGTAATTAGCTGCCTCTAGCACCCAGGGCACTGATAGAAAACCTGTGGCTCCCAGGTCCCTGGTGACTTTTAACAACTCCCTGGGCGGGTTCTGTTTGCAGGATTAAGCGAGGCATTTCCTGACAAAGGCTGCAGCAGCTGCTCCTAAGTGGCCAGGAGTGAGAATCTAAAATGAAATCCTCTAAGCCCTTCGACTCGAAACCCAAAGAAAACCAAGCAAACTAGCTATAACAAAAGGCAGTTTCAATGGCACGATTTTAAATCAATTGTTCTAACAGTGAAAAGACAATTGCAAGATAGTAAGTAGTATATTCCCAAAATGCTATTAATTTTCAGTTACTGGGTTTATAGTATCTGGATCGGTGGTTCCACAGTTTAAAGTACCTAAAAATCAGCTGTGAACTTATTTAAAATGAAGATTCCCAGGCGCCAGGACCAAAGATTCTAATGTAGGTCAAGGGTGAGCCCCACAAATCTAAATTCTTAACAAGCGCCCCTAGATCCCCGAGCGATGTTGACACAGGAGGCCTAGGGATCACACATTTGAAATATTTATCTAAGTCTTTGTTTATAGGATACTAAACCACTCAAAAAGTATAACAAATATTCACCTCAAAATGGCTTATAATAAAATAGCACATTAACATAAAAATGTAACATGCCATAAGCATAAAAGCAACGAAAAAATACAAAAAAGAAAAACAAAATGGCAGATTTTGCTAATCAAAACAATCAAAACCTCAGAATTTCAAAATTATATAAAATTTTTAAAAAATCCACTGGAAGGGGCTGGCCCCGTGGCCGAGTGGTTAAGTTCGCGCGCTCCGCTGCAGGCGGCCCAGTGTTTCATCGGTTCGAATCCTGGGCGCGGACATGGCACTGCTCGTCAGACCACGCTGAGGCAGCGTCCCACATGCCACAACTAGAGGAACCCACAACGAAGAATACACAACTATGTACCGGGGGGGCTTTGGGGAGAAAAAGGAAAAAATAAAAAAAATCTTTAAAAAAAAAAAAAAAAAAAATCCACTGGAAGGGCGAAAATGCAACAAATAGAAAAAAATCGTTGCTAACCTTAAAATATAAAGAAAAATTTAAATATATATATACCACAACAGATAAATGAGCAAAAACAGAAAATTCACAGAATACAAACACAAAATAAACAACATTCAACTCAAAAGTAATAAAAAATTAAAGCAATGTATTACAAATTTATTTAACAGAGTTTTAAAAATACTATTCCACGCTAGTGATAATGAAGTGAAACAGGCAACTGCATAAACTGCTGGGGGTTATTTGAGCATTACAGCTTTATATAAAACGTTGATTCATTCAACAACCGCTTGCTGGGCACCTCTTAGGCACCCAGCACACTGAACAAAACATGCAAAGATCCAGCCTAGTGGGCCTTAGATTTAAATTACATTCTAATTTCCCTTATAGAAATGTATACTAAAAAAAAACACACACACACACAAAGAAATACAGACAAAGCCTTAGCTACATAGTTATTCATCACAGCATTATTTACAAGAGCCAAAAAAGCTGGAAATAATAAAAGAATAATTAAGTAAATTATTAGGATGGAAAATTGTGTTTTCAAACAATATTTAATCAATAGGAAAATGCTTAACGTAAATACTGAGTGAAAAAAAGTAGTAAATACAATTGTACATATAATTCAATTTTCATTTTTGTAATGTTAACAAAGAAAAGACCAAACTACAGTGTTATCCGTGGGTTGTGGGATTACGGGTACCTGTTTTCCACCTTCCAGTAATTTCCAAATTCTATGCAAAGTTATCACTTTCATAATAAGCATTATTTTAAGAAAGACTTATCTCTGAATAAGATGCAGAAATGGGGCACAATTCTTTCTTTTTATATTGTGGATGTCGGATCTCCTAAAGGCACTACATTCGAAAGCCAAGTCACAGTATTACAAGTTGTTTCCACAACAGCAAACAGTCAAGCCTAAACTTATAAATGTTTAAACAAACAAGCACAAAAGGGCACATTCAAAATGATGAATGAAACAGAAATAGACAAGAAGTCAATAAAACACAGAAATTTACAGACAGACTGAAATCAGGGGACCAACTGGAAGGTGGACTCCATTTAACAAAAGTTAACAGGAAAGAGAAACCTGCTGCAGGAGATCGTTTTCAGACAGCCACAGCAGGGACTGCTGCCTCACCCAGGGAATCCAAAACAGGATTAAGACATGCCGTTTTCTGACTAACACCGCCTACTCTTTAGAAAGAGCCCCTCCACGGCAGGGTTCAGCACAGTTCCCCCCTCCCACTCAGATGGTGAAAATACAACACTCAGGACTGGGAAGCAGAGGGTCCTAGTGGCACAGAGAGGAAACGTGGACTGAACAACTGAAATGCAACCTCTTCCCAGGATCAACCAGCACTCCCCATGCCCAGGTATCCTACATCAGGAAGCCACCCTCCGCCAGTATCACCCCTCACAGCCTTCAAGAAGTGGACCAGAGGCCACCGCTAAGAGGTCTTCCCTGAGGAGCCCTTTCACTCACTGCCTTTCTTGCCCGGGAATGGTCTGTGCTGGAGTCTGCACTTGCTTATGCACTGCTTTGTGTTTCCAACTGGATCCTTGAGGACAGGAGCCAGGTCCTCCACTTCTTCCGTTCCTATTCTATTACTCAGCCTAGACGCAGCTGTATGAACCAGAGGAGCCCAATATACACATCAGTGAAAGGATGAAGACTCTGCTTCCACGACGCCAGCTCTAGAGCAGAAAATAACTAATTTCATGTCTCCAGGTTGAATATTTGTACTGGAGGTTGAGAGGAAGCAGGAACGGACTTTCCAAAGAAGAGAAAGTTATGGAGGGACAGTACAAACAGCCCCACTATTGATTTTAAATTTATCAAAAGAATTACTTACATTATCCACGTCACCTGCAGTATATTCAGATGGCCACAGTCACATGGGGAAGCTGTACAGAGTACACAGATGTACTCTATGCATAAACGCATAGAGTTAGGAGTCCAACCAACCTACACTCCTGAAGCCTTAGTCTCCTTATCTGTAAAATGGGAATAACGATGCCTGACTCCTAACGTCATTGGATCGTGGATATAAACCGCAGCACCTGGCACACAGGGGGCACTCAGTAAATGAAACGATTAGCACGCCCTGTCCATCAGCAGATGAAGCCATCAGTATCAGATGGGCTTTCCTTGTTGACTGAAGTCCAGAGCGCTCCTCATGACTCTCTCTCCTTACAGAAAAAAGCCCAGAATCTCCTCTCCTCTGGATACACAGGCTGGAACACGCAGAGAGCAGGACTGAGACCTGAAGTGCTCGGTCAGGCAAAGTTGTCTGCACTCTCTGTGTACTGCCTGAAAGAGACCCATTCGGTCGCCCTCAGCTCTGGTGTGGCTCCCTCAGGTAGGGTGCCACCCGGCTCCGGGAAATCTCCGTTGGAGGCCTCAGGTGTGTCTAAATCTATGGGTCAGGGCAGTAGGGAGAATAAAAAAGTGATGACTCCACACCAACTAGCCTGTGACCTTGGGCAAGTCATTTCTCTGTGTCACTTTCTTCTTTCGTAAGAGGAGTAGTTCCCTCCTATGATCCCTGAAGTCCCTTCTTGAGCATGTATTGTACCAACCCCTACATGGCACTGGTTATAATTCCAACAGCGAAGTCCAAGGGACACCTTCAAACGTGTTCCATTTCCTTCCAAAGCCACTTAGCAGTCCTTTGGCCCTGCTCCCATCAGAAAGGAAGATCTGGAGGAGCTCCCCTGGCTTTCTGTTTTTGTTCTGTGTGCAGCCGCTCTCCACCCAGAGCTGCTCGTTCTACCTTTCCTTTTCTGGCCCCAAAGTGGTCAAGTGTGAGCACCGGGGCAATCATTGGCTTGCAGCGTGTCAGCTCAGAGATGGTTTCCAGACCATCCTGTGTGTATGCTCAGGGTGGACAAATAAACATTTCAGAGAAGCAACATGAATTAAATCATTTCCTCAACAACAAAACCCGCCCACATGCTTCTTCATAAATCATGCCTCTTAATTCCATGCTGTCGAACAGTCAGTAAACTGCATCTATTTTGAAAACAGCCCTTACTCCTTTCATGCCCTGACACTTAAGAATCACAATATTTTCACACTCGATTGTACTAATGCCTCTGCAGAAGTAATAGCAATAGCTATTTCCCTGGAAAGATCCATGGCCAGCGCGCTTTCCAAGAGATACTCTTTGAGTGTTCTTTGTGTCCTGGTGCACCGGGGTACACGGACAGCCTGCCCGCATCTGGGGGACGCAGGGCCACTCAGAGTAATGCAATCCCGTTTCAAAGAACACACACCGAATGTACGCCTTCGTCCCGACAATAAAGTATTCCCAAACATTTGATAGACCACACTCCTACAGCCATGCACAAATACAATCCCAGCGCCTGCATTCTGCAGGGAAAATAAAGGTACATTCGGAGACGAAGCCACCAAGACCCGCCTCGGGCTCGGTGGATAACAGGAGGATAGCTTTGCAGACCTCAAGCAAGATCGGCCAGAACCCGCTGGCTTTTTCGCCTCCTTTCCTCCGTGCCTTTATTTGCTGGGCCCAAGAAGAATGGAAAAGCATCTCAAGGAAGGCAGGCGAGGGAGCGGAGGAGAATAAAAGAGGATGGGCGGGGAAAGCAGGCTTGTGAAAATAACAGCAATAAAGGCAGGCAGGGTCGCGGCCGGAGGTCCCCGCGGGGCTTACCTGGCGCGCACGAGGCCGGCCGGGCCAGCAGCAGCAGCCAGAGGCCGGGCAGCAGCAGCCCCGGGCGGCGGCGGCGGCGGCGGGCGCGGCGGGCGGAAGGCCCGCGGCCGCTCGGCCCCGGGACCAGCGCGACCCCGGCGCGGGGCTTCCCCTCCATGGCCGCGCCTCGGCGGCGGCGCCCCGACCCGGCTCCGGCTCTGTGCTCTCGGCCCGGGAGGGGCGGCCGCTGCGGCTGCGGGGGACCGGGCGCCGCGCACCGGCGCGGAGGGCGGCCGGCGAGGCGGGGGTGGGCCGGGGGCCGGAACCGCGGACAGGGGCCGCCAGCCGCACGCCGGCCTCGCCGCTCCGCCCCCTCCGGAGCCTCGCGCCGCTGCCCGGCAACGCGCGGGCCCGGGCGCGGGGAGGCGAGCACCACCTCCCGGCCGGCCGGGCGCCTGCCTGCGGGGCGGCCGGGCGGCGGCGCGGGGCTCCGGGCGCCGGGTGCGCGGCGCGGGGCCGGGCCGGCGCACCCCAGGACCCGCCTCCCGGGAGGGGGTGCCGGGGGGACGCGGGAGGCCTGGGCCCGGCCGGCGGCCCGCGCTGCCCCGACCCGCAGCCGACGCCGGGGCCCGGCGCCCTGGGACGCGCGCGTTCGCCCCCGGGGGCGCCCGGGGAGGGAGGCCCGCGAGGAGGGGTCCGAGCCGGAAAGCCTGGCCAGGCCCGGGCGGCGGGCCCTCGCTCCGGCTCCGCTCCGCTGCCTTCTGCGCGGGGCAGCAGGTGTGGGCGGGGCGCCTGCGTGTGTGACAGCCTTCGGGGCTGCCGAGGGGACAAAGCGGAGGAAAGGTCGGGCTCCCTCCCAAGGAGGCCGGCGTGCAGCAAGGGGGCGAGGAAAGCCGCGCACGGCTCTAGCCAGCCTTCCTCCCTTCCTGAGCTTCTGCCTCCTGCCCGGGTCCCTGGGAAACGCGGGACAGGCCGCGCTGGGCCTGGGAGGCCCGCCACCCCCGCACGTAGTAGGCCTTCAGGAGGCGCCTGCTGAACCGAACGGAAGCGGAGCGGAGTGAAGCACGTCCACGCCCTTTCAGGGAAAGCTGTGCTCTTGTGGGGTGCAGAGAAGGTCAGAGAATTAGCCTTTAGGGATTAGAGTTCCCGGGGGAAATGAGGAAAGCGAAGAAGGGAGCTAACGTTTGTCGAGGACCTGCTGTGTGCCCGGCAGCGAACTCTGAAGACGCCTGGTGGTTTAAAGGGCTTGGAATGTGAAATTGGCGATTTTGGATCTTTGCATCCCGTAGGAGTGTTTGCACCAGACAGGATACAAAAGGTGTGAGGTGGGGACGCTATCTTATTGCCCGGGAAATTATAGTGGACAGTGGAAAATGTGAATCGTCTACACTGACAAAGGGACCCACGTTGCTCTCCAGTCGGGTTCCCCTGCCAGGCCCTGCCTTCCGGCTCCAACCCATCCAGGCGTCTTGCCCTGCTCCAGGTCAGATTATTGGAGAATCGGTAATAGCTGTTCCTCAGAACAGAGCTGAGACACCCTTCTGTAAGTACCCGCCTGCCTGTTAGTTTCAAGGGAGATAATTGAGAATAAAGGTTCAAGATAGCTTTTGTTGACGTCCCTAATTTGTTTTGTATATTATTATGCCTCTTCATCAGAAACCATCCCTGTTCTTAGCAACTGATCTTCTCCGCCCCCCAACAGAAGGCTTTACATGCCTCACCTCCAGTTTGTTAAATCCGGGTGAGTACCTATGTGGAGACACTGCCTGTACCGGCGTGTCTAGTCCCCAAATACCAGGGCCTTAGATCTGGGACTTCGTCTTCACACTTTTCTTCATTCTCTGAACTCATGGTGTAAATGCTTCATTTGACCACAAACCACAGGCTTGCAGGGATTCTTAAATTGTCTTGCCCTGTTATATTATCTTTTATAAATTTATGCCTTACATCTCCAGTCAAATTAATATGAAGTTAGAAGACCATGCCGTCCTGCTTAGGATTCCTGTAGCACCAATAAACCCTCCTTATACGTCTGTTGATTTGGACTAGAACCTCCGCTTGCCCAGTGAAGAGGTTCTGCCTTTCAGAATTGGCCCCAGCCTCCAGTAAACTCCTACTACACTAGAACCCCGAGTGTCAGAGAAAGGATGCTCCCTTTCAATTCTCAGCCAATTCAAGGAAAATGAAGTGTTTGCCCATCCATTAAGAAGGGACTGACATCAGTTGGAAATAAAAATCGCAACTTCAAGGTAATACAAATGACCCAAGGTCACCAACTCTCTAGGGAAAGCGAGATCCCTAGGGCCCCATAGTCTCCGAGGTCTGAAGTCGTATACGTATAAACACGCACCTGCACGCATTTGTGTCTGAGAAGAGACGGGATTAAGACAAGGCCTTGGGGCATTCGTACCAAATTATGCAACAAATAAATCAAGGGGACACTTCCGAGCACCTGCCGTGACCTGTTAGTGCTGTGGGGGGATAGGAAAGAAGATTAAAGAAGCGATTTTAGAGATCATCTCATCTAATTCTCATTTTATAGATAAACAAGCCAGAGAGGTTTGTTTATTTACCTAGGGCTCAGACCCAACTAGAATTCTCATCCATTTTCTAGTTAAGCCACACAACCTCTGAGGGAGGGGAGAATTAGCCTGGTCATCAAAAGGCTTACAGTCTGGTTTGGGAAGGAGGAGAGGTAGGATCAGTCCCCCCTTAGACCTACACAAAATGGGCCCCAGCTTTGGATGGCCGCACTCCGGGCCTCCTCCAGTTGCTCCTCTCCCCTGTGGGACAAGGAGGCCAAGAGGCCAGGGAACACGCCACCAGGAGCCTGCTTTCCCCCATGGTTGTGTAGCCAGGACTCCAGAATTCCTTGCCCCCTCACCCCAGGCTCACTTCCAGGGCCTGAGTGGCCTCTTCCTCCCAAAGGGTGAGCCACCAGCTAGAGTGTCCGGTTCCAAGGGGTGGCCAAGGGTAGTTGTGTGCAGGGGAGTAGTAGAACTTGGACATGCAGGTGGGTGAGAGGAGCACATGAAGCCTAAAGGAGGGAAGCAAACGACCAGGGTGGGAAGAGAAGGCGGAACAAGCTCCATCTCCATGCGGCAACTTCACTGCCATATTCCTGCTCAGAACTCCAAGCAGTCTGAGAATGCTGCTTTTGGGAATGCAACTATGAAGTTGTTATGAAGGTACATTTGTCAAGGGAGAAGGATAGACATATCTTATTTAATAGTTTGCTTGCTTAGCATGTAATTTTCTGATGTTGCATTGTAGGGTATGTGAGCCTGCATTTGTATTTTTGACCTGGGCCCCTCAATTCTTACCGTTGGGCCTGGATAGGAATTGGGAGGAAAGACTGACACACTGAATAGTGAGAGGATGACTGAAGCTGCTAGGGGGTAGTACTGAGAACCCCGGACCAGGACTCAGAACAGCTGAGTCCTGAGCTCTGGTGTGTCACAGAAAAGTTTGTCATCCTGGGTCAAAGCCTTATCCAGACTCTCAAACCTCAGTTGTTCTTATCTGATGATGGGCTTGATTATGCCTACCTTGCTTAGCTGTGGGTTGTTATAAGGATCATACAAAATAAGATAAATGTCCATAAAGTTCGTTCATTAAATTCAGTGAATATTTCTGGGGCTCTTACTATATGCCGGGCACTGCAGTGGGCCCTTGAGATACAACAGCAAACAAAACAAGAGCTTCTGTCTCAGTGAGCTTGCATTCTAGTGAGAGGAGAAGGGCAATCAGCAAAGAAATGAGTATTCAGCTGATGACAGCTATGTGGAGAGTAACAGAGATGAGGCGGGGTGTGGGGCGGGACAGTGCTACTGTGTCAAATAGAGTGGTCAGGGTGATCACTCGAATAAGGTGACGCTGAGCCCAGGGCATATTTGAGGAAGGGGTTCCAGGCAGAGGTAGCAACTGTGCAAAGTGGAGAAGAAGCTAGAACAGAGTAAAAATTGAGAAAGTATTTCCTGAGCCCCTACGAGTAAGTGCCCACAGAGCAATGTGCTCAGTGATGAGCAGGATTAACTTGCCACAGTTTTTTCAAAGAGTTTACAATCTTAAGGAAAAATAAGTTTAAAAAAATAACTATGTTGCAAAGCAGAACCTAATAAATGTTCAAAGGAAGTGACAATGTGTTCAAAGAAGGGAGAAATCATATTTGATAGGAGAGATCAAGGAAAGTTTCACTGTGGAGTTGCACATGAGTGGGCCTTGTGGGGTCCCTAAAGGATGAGGAGGGGGGCCGGCCCCATGGCCAAGTGGTTAAGTTCGTGCGCTCCACTTCAGTGGCCTGGGGTTTCACTGGTTGGGATCCTGGGTGCAGACACGGCACCACTTATCAGGCCACGCTGAGGTGGCGTCCCACATGACACAACTAGAAGGACCCACAACTAAAAATATACAACTATGTACTGGGGGGATTTGGGGACAAAAAGTAGGAAAAAAAAAAAAAAAAAGATTGGCAACAGTTGTTAGCTCAGGTGCCAGTCTAAAGGATGAGGAGGATTTGGACAGCTAAACGGGACAGGACAGGTCTTCCAGATGGAGGAGAGGTGGTATGAACAGGGGCATCAAGGCAGGAAAGCAGGGGATTTATCTAGCTAGGGTACTGAGTCAGTGGGAGCAGTGGTTCACAACTCTGGCTGCATATTAGAATCATCTGGACCCCAAAAAACAAAACAAAAAGACACCCCCAGGCCATACCTCAGACCACTTAAGTTAAATCTCTGCAGCCAAGGCTTGGGCAAGCATGTCTTTGAAAGGCTCCCTAGGAGTCTGATGTGCAGTGAGGAGTAAAAACCCATTGAAAAATAGTATGAAGTTTCCTCAAAAAATTAAAAATAGAACTACCACATGATCCAGTAATCCCATTTCTGGGTATTTATCCAAAGGAAATCATTATTGTGATGAGATATCTGCCTTCCTGTGCTCGTTGCAGCATTATTCACAATGGCCAAGACATGGAAACAACTTATGTGTCCATCAGGGGGTGAATGGATAAAGAAAATGTAGTGTATAGAGAGAATATTGTTTAACCACAAAAAAGAAGGAAATCCTGTAATTGGAAACATTAAGCTCTTGTGTTTTAGCCCTTACGGATAGACCTTAATGGCGTTATGCTAAGAAAAATAATGTCAGACAGAAAAAGACAAATACTGTACGATCTCCACTCATTTGTGGAATCTAAAAACATCGAGTTCATAGAAACAGAGAGTAGACTGGTGGTTA